CTTCAAGAGCACTGGGCGGAGTCTGCCAGAAACTGGCACATGAAACTGTCCTTCAGCTAAAGGTCTGAGAAGGTCAGATGAAGACCCAGGCATCCCGTCTGTGGAAAGGCATCAGCACAGAACAGATGTTGGCGAGTGAATAAAGAGGGGAGGGGACGCAACAGAGTGCCAGCCAGGATAGGGAAACCACATGTGCACAATTCAGAAAGTTATTTGGAAACCTCAATAGAGTGCAAGAAAACATAGCCTTTGTGGAACATAGCAAAACTTCTGGGAGAGAACAGACGAGGAGCAAAGAAGAAAAAGGAAAATACCAAGGGAGCAATAGAGAGAAAAGAAGCCTTGACAAGAAATTAAAAATGCCGTGTGGGCAGCAATAAAAAGCAGAATTGGTACAGAAAAACATCAGATTGGTGATGTAGAAAGCCAATAATAATGATAATAAACATCAAACATTACTTTAGGGTTTATTGTGTATCAGTCACAATAAAAACGTCACATTTATAATCTCATTGGATCCTTACAACAACCCTATAAGGTTGGGATTGGTAAAAGCCTCCCATTTAATGGGAATGAGACGGGAGCAACTCACTCAGTTACAAAGAGGCAGCGTCAACAGAATTTGAACTCAAGGTGGCTCATTTCAGAACTGAAGCATTCACCACTATCCAAATCTACCTTCAGTTATCCACAGCATAATGTCAGAATTTATTTTTAAATTCCTCAGTTTTATAGATTTAAAAATATACCATATCTCAGACAGAATTCAATGATGAGTCCTACAAAGTAATTCCCTAAACTACAAGAAAGGAGGCAAATTCCTAAAAGCATAAAGGAAAAAATGAACTAACTACAAAGGCATCAAATCAGGCTGCTCTCAGAAATTACACCAAAATAAATTTTAAAAAGGTTAAATATTTAAATGTAAAAAATAAAAATTTAAAAATAGAAATAAATATGTCTTAGGGTTTGCTGAACCTTTAGGTTTAAGCATTATATAAGAAGGCCTGACAATTAAGTTCTTAAACTCATCCTAGAAAAAGCTGCATACTTCCTTGCTGAATGTCACCCTGGTTACCTTCAAAGTACTCCCCTTGGGAAGCTACATGCTGACACCAGTGCTTGTCCATCCTTCAAAGCTATTTTGGAACTCTTTTTCTGGAATGCCCATCAGAGCTGTTATCATAAAAGGTCTGACAGTTAAGTTCATGAACTCACCACAGTGCGCTTATGTTGGCAACACTGTACAAACAACTAGGTTTCATAACCTTGGTACACCAGGGGTCTCACAGCTATCTTCATGACAATGTGTGGTGGTGTCTCACTGAGTGGTAGTCATTAAAGTTGCATGTTTTTCTGTAACGTACAATAACAGCTCTAATAATCATTCCAGAAAAATAGTTCCAAAATTGCTTTGAAGGGTCACTAGGCACGAGTGTCTGTGTACAGCTTCCCAAGGAGAGTACTTTGAAGGTGACTATAGTGATATTCCCCAACAAGATATGTAGCACTTTTTCTAGGATGAGTTCATGAACTTAATTGTCAGACATCACATAAGAGAGAAACCATACATTCATTATTTAAATTATTATTATTATTATTATTTTACAGTTTTTGGCTGGGGCCAGGTTTGAACCCACCACCTCTGGTATGTGGGGCCAGTGCCCTACTCCTTTGCGCCACCTCCTTATTTAAATTTAAAAATTGAAAACAAACACAGAAAGGTAATTAGAAAGCTTAAAAGGAAATAATAAAATAAAATTAAAGGAAGTGGAAGACTACAAAGATGAAAAGTCAAATGAAGTTTAAAAATAAACTAGTAGCAAGACTAATCAAGAAAAAAAGAAAAATTCAAATATATAGCGTTAGAAATAAGAAAAAGGAAAACAACATAGGTATAGAAAATTATTTAAATTATAAAAGTTTGCTCTGTATAACACTATAAACTAAATTAGACCTCAATATAATGGATGCTTTTCTAGAAAAATATAAATTATCAAAATTGACTAGAGTAAAAGTAACAAGCTAAAAACAATGATCACAGGAGAAATTTTAAAGTTTTCTAAAAACTATTAGTATACCCAATCGAAAAAGGCACATAGCCCATATGGTTTTACAGGTAAATTATTTCAAACCCTCCAAAGACTATATATCCTTATGTTATATAAACAGTTCCAGATGTTACAGAAAACTTTAAATCTTTACAATTAATTTTACAAAGCCAGCACAATCCATATACCAAAACCAAAGAAATAATAAGCAGACATACCAGTTGATGATAACAGAAAGTCAGAAAGCAGGTCCAGGAACACATTTAGGAATTTAGTAGGTGATAACAGTGGTATCTCAAGATATAGGGGAAAGATTATTCAAAATACAATGTTGTTATCACCAAAGAACAAATTTGAAAAAAGAAACTCTAGCTCCCTGCCTTATTCACTAAGGAAAAGATTAGCAGATTTGGCTACATAAAGATTTTAAACTTCAGACTCAGTACCCGTAGCTCAGTGGGTAGGGAGCCAGCCACATACACCAAAGCTGGAGGGTTTAAGCCAGGCCCATGCCTGCTAAACAACAATGACAACTCCAACCAAAAAATAGCTGGGTGTTGTGGAGGGCGCCTGTAGTCCCAGCTACTCAGGAGGCTGAGGAAAGAGAATCACTCAAGCCCAAAGAGTGTGAGGTTACTGTGAGCTGTGATGCCACAGCACTCTACCAAGGGTGACAAAATAAGACTGTCTCAAACATATATATTTTTTTAACTTTTTTTTTTTTTTTTTTTTTTGCAGTTTTTGGCCAGGGCTGGGTTTGAACCCACCACCTCTGGCATATGGGGCCAGCACCCTACTCCTTTGAGCCACAGGTGCTGCCCCCAAAATTTTAAACTTCTATAGGCCAAAAAACTATTAACTGGAAAGTAAAGCTAGAAAGAATTATGTGCCACATATAAGAGAAAAGTTAATGTCCATATATATACAGAACTCTTACAAAACAATGCGAAAAAGACAGGCATACCATCAGAAATAAGGACCAAGAATTTGAACAGGGAATTAGAATAAATATAATTATACAGACATATTATATATAAATATAACTATTATATATAAATATAACTTATTTATTAAAGTATTTTTAAAATTTACATTAAACAACTTAACCAGCTATCAATGACATGAAAATTAAGGCAATAATGAAATACCATTTTCACCTATCAAATTAACAAAGTTCTTTTATAATAATACTCTTTTACCCCATGTGAGGGAGGTTGCAGCAAAATAAACTTGTGGGATTGATTAGCGTATAAATTAATCCAGCCTTTTTTTTTTTTGTCCTAGAATCCAAAGGCAAGTCCAGCCTTTTTGAAGGGCAATTTTGATAATATACTAAAATCCCTAAAAATGCTGAAATTCTTTAACACAGCAATTGAACTTTCAGGTATGTATCCAAAAGGAAACTCATGAATTGTATACAGATTCAGCTACAAAAATATTCACTGCAAAGGTAGCTGTTTATAATGTGTAAAAATTCAAAAATACCTAAATATTCACTGTTAACTAGTTAATGTGGATTATAGTACATTCACACAACAGAATGTGTGTTTTCATTTAAAACTGTGTGCAGGCGCCAGCCACGTACACCTGAGCTGGCGGGTTGGAATCCAGCCCAGGCAAGATTCTTGGGAGGCGCCTGCGGCTCAAAAGGGTAGGGCGCTAGTCCCATATGCCACAGGTGGCTGGTTCAAACCCAGCCCCAACCAAAAAAATAAATAAATAAATAAAACTGTGTGTAGTGGCTCACACCTGTAATCCTAGCACTCTGGGAGGCCAAAGCAGGTAGATTGACTAACTCAGGAGTTTGAGACCAGCGTGAGCAAGAGTGAGACCTCATCTCTAAAACAAAATAGCCAGGCATTGTGGTAGGTGCCTGTAGTCCCAGCTACCAGGGAAGCTGAGACAAGACAATTGCTTTGAGCCCAAGAGTTTGAGGTTGCAGCTCAGTGCCTGTGGTTCAAGTGGCTAAGGCACCAGCCACGTACACCTAAGGTGGCGGGTTTGAATCCCCAGCCCGGACCCGCCAAACAACAATGACGGCTGCAACCAAAAAATAGCCTGGCGTTGTGGCGGGCGCCTGTGGTCCCAGCTACTTGGGAGGCGGAGGCAGGAGACTCGCTTGAGCCCAGGAGTTGGAGGTTGCTGTGAGCTGAGATGCCATAGCACTCTACCCAGGGGGAAAGCTTGAGGCTCTGTCTCAAAAAAAAAAAAAAAGTTTGAGATTGCTATGAGCTATGACACCACAGCACTCTACCGAGGGCAACTAAGTAAGACTCTGTCTCAAAAAAAAAAAAAAATTAATCTAATTTAATTAAAGTAAAATAAAATTTGTGTTGTAGAAAAACATTTAATAACATGAAAAGATATCTATGTTGTATTACCAAGTGACAAAAAAAAATTTGCAAAACAATTTATGTCTATCCATGGAGGTGTGTATGCACATATACATACAAATACATGTATATGTGCATATATACATACTTATATACAAACAGAAAATATCCCAGGATATTAATATTTCTTGTCTGAATAGGGAGGGCTTATGAGCAAATTTTATATTTTACTTCTTTATTTACAATTTATTTTCAACAAAAATTGATTACTTTTTAATAGACCAGTGAAAGCTATTTCAATGGCTTTTGACACTGCTAGGGCACAGTTGGCCAATGTAGAACCTGGTGGACTGCACAGCCACAGCCAGCTAATCTTATGTGCAAGGGTGAATTCTCTTCTTTGCACCAGGCAGTGGTGCCTCCTACCATCCATGTGTGGAGACCTAAATGTTTGTTTGCAAGCTATCTCTCTCACTGGCCGAAGCCCTTCTCTGTGGAAAATGTACAAAAAGGCCTATAATCTCTTTTCTGCAAACTCTCAAAACTAGAGGTACAAGCTGGAGATGGGACAGGGGAAAGCACAGGGGCCAGAGGGCAGAATAAACATTGGACATACCTTCTATTTCTCCTCCAGGGGCAGAGATTTTCGACATACTCAGGTAGGTGGTGGCCACAATGTCATTGTGAGTGAGGCGATCCCTAGAGCAAGGGAGCAGAAAGGGCATGAACATGGAGGAGGACGCAGGCCACAGCCCATCGGAGAAGGCCATGGCCTTGGTTACACAGCATGGAGGAGTCCCAGTCTTCACTTTGGTATGTTACTGATGCCTGATAATCCCAGGGAAGCAGAGACTGCACAGAACTTGCTCCAGAAACACCCCCTCTCTGAGGGAACTAGTCCCTTCTCCCAACCAGCACCCCATTAGCCAACCAACCCCTGCATGTGGATGGGAATGAAGCCAGAGGAAGGGAGATAGGGACAGGGAGCAGAACACTCCTCAGGGAGCCAGATCCCCAGACCCAGGGAGGGCTGAGGCTCCAGGGAGCTAAAGAAATAACCAGATCAAGAAGAAGATTCAGTGACAAAGAAGAAACTATTCTCCACAGCCACGGCAACCAATGCGAATGCACAATTCCTTTTTGTATTTGACTTTGTACATGGCAAAGCACTTTTAACCTTTATCTCTCAGGAGTCTCACAACAGCCTTGAGAAACAAGTACTTTTATTATTGTCTCTGTTGTACCAGTGAGGAAACTGAGGCTAGGAGCCATGAAGGTATTTACCCAAGGTCAGTATAGGAGGGAGAGGCAAAGCCCAGATGGCAGCCTCAGTGTGCTGGTTCCTGGCCCAGTGCTTTTCTCATGGCACACACCATACGAGGCTGTCCCGCTTCCTGGGAGGAGGCTTCTCCCCTTCCCAACCAGTGCAGGGGATGATGGGTAGGAGCTCAAGGAGACTGACAACTATTAGCCAATATCCTGTGCAGACCTCCCATCCCCTGACATCCACACCTGCCTTCCTTTATAGTGATAGGAGTGACAGCTAAACTTATTGAGCATCTACTATGTGCCAAGCATTGCACTAAATCCACTGAGTGACTGAACTCACTTAATCCTCACAATAGCTCTATCAGGTAGGTACCACAATTATCCTCAATTTCAAATGAGGAGGCTAAGGTTTGAAAAGGTAAATGATCTTCCAAAATGGCAAAGCTGGGACTTGGGGTCAGCTCTACTGATGTGGAAACCAGAGCTTTGATTGCAGCTACCTGCTGCTTCCTTGGCAACCTGGACCTGAGATTCTCAGTGTGGCAGTTTAGAACCCCAGGGAACATTTGGTGACATCTGAAAACAGTTTTAGTACCAGGAGGGGATGTTACTGGGCTCTGGTAGAGATGACTGTTGCTAAACATCCTACAATGCACAGGACAGATCACCACCTCCCCCAACAATAACAAAGGTATTTTGACCCCAAAAGTCAACAATGCTGAGGTTGAGAAACATTGGCCAGGGGTTCAAGAAGCTTCTGCACCATACTCTCTTTCTTCCTTTCTGTGCCCCTAAGGCCCCTCTCACATCTGTGAGCATCTTGGCCATAGGCATCATCAGAGATGATGCATCCCAGCCCCACTGTGAAAGGCACACCAAGTGATCTTATCCTTCCTCTAAATCTTTTTATTTCTTTTTTAGATTTTTGTTTTGCTTTATTTTTTATTTTTTGGCAGTTTTTCTTTTTTTGGCTGGGGCCGGGTTTGAACCTGCCACCTCAGGTATATAGGGCCAGCGCCCTACTCCTTTGAGCCACAGGTGCCGCCCCTTTCCTTTAAATCTTAACCCACGAGATACCACAGTCTCTATGCTCCCTTCCCTCCTCCTTATATTTCCCAGGCTGGTGACTAAGCTCTGATTTTTGAAGTTTTCCATCAGGACTGGGGCTGCATTAAGAAGAGTGAATTGTCAGCATAGATTTTTATCATTTTTCCTGGTGAATGATGTTAGTAAGAACTAGAAAATATAAATTTCCTTGAATATTTACAATGTGATCATCAACACCAGATAAGCAACAGCTGATGGCATGACCAATCCCCCCCAGAAAAAGATCAGCACCGAAGAGGATTTGGATTTCTGACCTATGACCTTATCTGAATCCAGAGAGGACGGAAGAAGAATGGGAAGAGAGAGGTTTTATTTTAAACAGAGGTGGGGTGTGGTTTGGGGCGGGGCGGGGGGGAGTTGTTTTGTTTTTTAAAAAAGGAATTTTTAAATAGTTGAATGGAAGATTAACTTACAGAGAAAATGCCATATGGACTATATCATATTTCCAGGAATCAGGTAATAACAAAAGTAAATCTGCATTTTCTGGGAAGAAAGCACTCTTCTTGATAGGAACTTGCAACAGCAGAATGCTTTCTGGCCAAAAGTTGGGTTTTGGGGCTTGGGGTTGCTTTTGGAAAACACAGCAAGTCTGAAAATAGACTCACAATAAAAATGCCACTTCAACCCAAACCAGAGATGCAACCACTAGATTCTGTAATGTGTTTGGATTGTACAGTATGCTGATGCCTTTGACACAGCTCACCTGGACTTGGGCCAGGCACATCCACAACACAGGAGACCCACAGCCACATGCGTCCACATGCACAAACACGCACAGCCAGCCGCCCACAGTCAGCACATATGCTCTGCGATCCGAACCTGGGATGTAAAGCCCATCTCTCCTCCAAACCGCTTCCCTACAGCACATACCCGTGGTCGCGGCCCTCCTGGCTGCTCCCTTTCCTCTCCTCTAATTCTCACAAGCTGTTTTCTTTCAGCCTGGGGAACTGGCACACAGCTTAATGGCTCTGCGGCCCAGGGGTTTTTCCCTGGTCTCTCATTATCCTCCTGGTTGGGGGTGCCATGGGCATGAGACCAAAGGAGAACACTCTGGGGAACCACATGGCCAAGACCTTTGGGGGCAAAGAAAGGACAATTCTCTTTTTGGAAAGCCTGCTGCCCTGAGATCACACGTGTGGACCCCCCTCAATCGTGAGAACAATCCCCTCAACGTAGCAGGAGGCATCATGGCCTAGTGGTTAAGAGCACAGGCTTTGGAAGAAGCAGTCTTGGATTTAAGTTTGGCCTCAGCTACTTTCTGGCTGTTGCTTTAGCAGGTCACTCAACCTTCCCCCATCTGCCTCCTCATCTGTGAACTGGGAACTGGGCCAGAGAATGGAGTTGAGGGTCAGATGGGATGAGACACATAAAGTGGTTGCTGGCCACAGGGTTTCACATGCAAATGTTAGACACGATCATTTTCCTAAGATGCCCATGGGCTATTGTCCTCACCTGTTGCATACCTGCAGTGGTGTCCCCTGCTCAGCCAACCTGGCCGACTTCCCCAGGCTGGGCACCCTTCCTTTTTATCCTCCTCACCCAGAGAGCCATGGTGGCCCAACCTCCCAGAAGCTCGGTTCTTTCCCACCCATTTGCCCGGGCTTGTGAGACTTTCCTCACTGGGATGCCCTCATCAGGGACTGCTCGAGACCCCACCCCCCTGCCCCACCTCCTCTAGGAAGCCTTCCCTCTCCCCCCACAGCCCCACCTAGCTGTGCCCTCCTCATCTGCCTTCAGGGTTAACATGCTACCTCCCAGCCAGTAGGGGCTATGAGTAAATGTTCTGAGAAGTGCCCACACCCTCTCCTGCTCTGGCTTCCTAGTGACCCTTCAGGACAGCCCTCTCTAACGACGCTCAGACTCACAACTCACCAGTCTATGACTCGAATCCTCATTTTTTCACACATAGAGGGAAACTGAGAAGGGAAGAGAGGTGTGTTGGGAACAGAGTCCTTTTGAAGAAAGCAACACCCCCTCCTCCAAGCAGAAAGCCAGGATGCTGGCAGGATGCCTCCCTGGGGGATGGGTAGGTGGGGCTCACCATGGCAGGTAGTGTGACGTTCTGGTTCCACTGAGGATTGGCTGTCTTCTCCAAGATCTTGCTGCAGAGCTAGAAGACACAGAGAACAGGTGGCTGGAGCTCCCTAGGGACTCAGGGCTCCCTGAGAGACCACCACACCACCCAATGGCCACTCTCTGCCATATTAGCTGCCCTTGGGGCTGAGCATAAGACCCTAGGCTCTGGTAGCCTGGTGCAGTGGGCTCAGATACAAGGAATCTTTGCAGAGACAAAGCTCAATGGAATGTCAGACTCAGAGCTAGGGAGTAGATGGGGGAGGTGGGATGTTTGAATGCCACAGCTCTCCTACCCTTAACTCAGACCTCTGGCTGAAAATGCCCTCCCCCCTATACTACAGACATGATCCTAATTGTGGGGGCCCTGAATCCAGTCCAGACTGACTTTCCCAGAGGTTCTCCTCTTTGCCCATCAACCCAGACCTTCTGCCTCTTCAAAATGAGTCCTAGAAGGTCAGAGGGAGGTGTGGCAGGGGCTTGGAGGTCATGGTAGACATCTGAGAGTGAAAGAAACTTCAGTGATGGTGCAAACCCTATAAGCCACAGTCTACCTGCCCTAAAGACTAGGCTTTTCACAAACAAGAAATCTCTTAAGAGTAGATTCAAGCCAGCAGCTCATGAGCCAACTCTGCTCTCAGAGATGATGGGGTGCACCAGGTCCCTTAGCCAGCCCCAGGACAGCCTGTACCCACACGTGGAGATAGTGGGTAAAGACTCACTGTCAGATATATATATCCTAGTAGTTCTGCATGTTCTTTTTTTTTTTCTTTTGAGACAGAGTCTTACTATGTCACCCTCAGTAGAGTACTATGGCATCACAGCTCACAGCAACTTCAAGCTCTTGGGCTTAAGCAATTCTCTTGCCTCAGCCTCCCAAGTAGCTGGGACCACAGGTGCCACCACAACACCCGGCTATTTTTTGGCTGCAGTTGTCATTGTTGTTTGGCAGAGCTGGGCCAGGTTTGAACCCTCCAGCTCTGGTGTATGTGGCTGGCACCCTAGCCACTGAGCTACAGGTGCCAAGCCAATTCTGCATGTTCTATACATAAAAATAATTAGCAGCTTTTTCAGAACATTTACTATGAGCCCTGCATGGTGCTGAGCATTTTATGTGCATTATCAGAGACATCAGGTCCCCAGGGCAAGGATTTTGTCTCAATTCCTTATCCACTCTGCACCAGCCCCCAGCCCCATCTTCCCTCTCCTGCCTTAAAGTGCACAGGACTGGGGGGCAAGATTTAACCTTGTATTAGCAGAGAGGGGACTAAGGAAAGTCAAGACCAACAGTCCAATGGGACAGTGGGCAAACAGTGGGAGAGACAGCTCACACGATTAGAGACACAAAGGGTTGTGAAGCATATGAAAAGATGCTCAATCTCACTTATAATAAACACAAAACTAACAAGAAAATATTTCTCTTCCATCAGATTCATAAAAATCTCTCAAGTCTGACAGACCACTATCCACAAGGCTATGGAAAAACTGCATATTCATATTATGCTGGTGAGAAAACAAAGTAGCTTTGACCACTCCAGAGACTAACTGGCCACTATCTATTATAATTTCAAATGCATATTCCCATTGACCCATCAAGTCTACCCCTGGACACTGTGTGAAATGACAATGGGTGAGGTTGCTCACCTCTGCATGGCACAAATGAATAAGGATTTGAAGTAGCCCATTTGTCTACCAACAGAAGACGGGTCAAGTAAATTATGGTCCATCCACATGGAGTACTATGCAGCTCTAAAAAATGAGATTCACCTCATGGACTATTATGAAAAAATCTCCAAGTTTTATTATTAAGTGGAAAAAGCAAAGTACAAAGCAATGAATATAATGGGCAATAATGTGTTAAAATGGTCAAAGAAGCCAAGTGCAGAGACTCCCACATATAATCCCAGCACTTTGGGAAGTTGAAACAGGAGGATCACTTGAGCCTGCGAGTTTGAGACCAGCCCAAGAAACACTCTGTCTCTACAAAAACTAGAAAACTTAGCCCTGCACCTATACTCCTAGGTACTTGGGAGCCTGAGGCAGATGAATGGTCTTGCTTTTGCTCAGGCTGGTCTCGAACTCGTGAGCTCAAACAATCCACCCACCTCAGCCTCCCAGAGTGCTGGGAATTACAGATGGGAGCCACCATGCCTGGCCCCACCTTTACTTCTTTTTTTTTTTTTTTTTTTTTGAGACAGAGCCTCAAGCTGTCCCCCTGGGTAGAGTGCCGTGGCATTACAGCTCACAGCAACCTCCAACTCCTGGGCTCAAGCGAGTCTCCTGCCTCCGCCTCCCAAGTAGCTGGGACCACAGGCGCCCGCCACAACGCCCGGCTATTTTTTGGTTGCAGCCGTCATTGTTGTGTTGGCGGGTCCGGGCTGGGGATTCGAACCCGCCACCTTAGGTGTACGTGGCTGGCACCTTAGCCAGTTGAGCTATAGGCGCCGAGCCCCCACCTTTACTTCTTGATGGATTATTATTTGTACAACATTTCTGAAGGACTAATTGAACAACTGTATCAAATACTTAAAAATGAGCTCTCTGACCTAGCGACCCCCATTCTAGCAATCAGAGCATCAAACAAAGATTCCTGTATGCTGATGTCTGTCACTAGATTGTTTGTAAAAGAGGAAAATTAGACTTTACATAGTAAATATATCCAAAAATAGGTTAAATGTTATGATATTATTCATCTAACAGAATATTACACAACCGTCAAAAAATTCATTTCAAAGGCTATTTAATAACCTGAGAAAATATTAGATAATAAAACAGTTTAATTCCCAGACTACATATATACATTTGCTTCTCATTATTCATGGCGGTTATGATCTATAAAGTCGCCATGAACAGTGAATTAGTGGATCCTGAGTCATCACCCCTAACGGAAATGCAGGGTGAGGTTCCTGCCAGCGTCTGCCACAACATTTTTGTCAACTTATCAATACATAACCTTGCTGTATGTGTGTTTCTGCTGAAGGACACCTTATTTAATATATATTGCTGACTCATGAACACTGAACTCATGGCCAACAGCACTATGACTCATGCTGTGTGAAGCTCACCTAACACACGTACTCCCTCCTCAAGGCCTCACAGACTTCCTGAGCCTAGGAACACCAGACAGCAGTTCAGCATCTTGCTGGGGGGCTGCTTTAAGGAGCGAAATCACCAACAGAAGACATAAAAATGCGCAGAACATAGCACTACATCAACCAACACAAGGACACTTACTGATAATGTGAGAGCTAACACAAAGAAGTAGAGCATCTCCTCCTTGGACCTCAGCAGCCAGCACGCACACTGAACCACACAAAATTTTCACAGCTCTGCACGTGCCCACGAATGAACACAAAAATGTCTCAAGTGTTGATTACAAATAAGTCTTAGCAGGCAAAACAGCAAATACAGAGTCCATGAATAATAAAAATTGACTGTTATCTGAATCTGATTTTTTTTACAATGGGAAGCAGCAGAGGGGCAGAGAGGAGTAGTGAGAGCCAAAGAGAGAACATACTAGAAGGCAAGGCAATGCACATAATGTTAACAGTCCTATGTCTGGGGTACAGAACATGGGATGTGGTTTTGTTTTCCTTTTCTCTGATTTTTTTCAAATTTTCTTTTACAATCAATAGGTTTGATTCATGAACTCAGAAAATAAAAGTTGTTTTAAAATCCCCTGTTCTGGCTCGGCGCCTGTGGCTCAAGTGGCTAAGGCTCCAGCCACGTACACCTAAGGTGGCGGGTTCGAATCCAGACCAGACCCGCCAAACAACAATGATGATTGCAACCAAAAAATAGCCAGGCATTGTGGTGGGCGCCTGTAGTCTCAGCTACTTGGGAAGTGAAGGCAGGAGACTCGCTTGAGCCCAGGAGTTGGAGGTTGCTGTGAGCCGTGATGCCACAGTATTCTACCCAGGGCAACAGCTTGAGGCTCTGTCTCAAAAAGAAGAAAAAGTAAATAAAATAAAATAAAATCCCCTGTTCTGCCCTACAAGTACTCTCTCTTTCCTTTTCCTATTCTCTTCAATACTGTGAAGTCTGTCCATGCACACTCTTTCTCTCTTATCCCCTTAAGTAACTTGGGCAAAAGAGGCCTGGTTCACATCTGGGCTAGTAGTGCCACCAAGTGTCCATAAGAGGAAATGCAAGGAAGGCCAGACTGGGTACATGGACACACAAGAGGACAAACCACAGTGCTCTTCAGATTAGGCTATAATGAGAAAAAGTGACACACCTGCAAGCTAAGAAAGGACAGACAGGATGAGATAGGCAGTAAGGGCAGTGGAAAGTGCAGAGAGGCTACAAGGAGGTGGCTCCAGGCAGAGAAAAGAGGATGGTGGAGTGGAGACCACCAGAGGAAGCCAACCATACAAAGGTTTCAGGTCTCCCCTTTGCTATGAGCTCATTGTCAACTCTCCCCTCCTTCTAGAGAGCAATGCAAGGTTCAGTGTCTTGTTGAGCCTAGCTGCCAAACCTCTACATAGTCCCTTGCCTTGACCACATCCCTTATTGCCCATAGGTATTTGCACCTTTCATAGCTATCCCCAGAGCCAGCCAATGGCATCTCAGAACGGAACACCTAGGAAAGCAAAGGTGCTGGAAAGGACCCAGAAGCAGCCAGAAGCTCCAGAGCTCTGAAACTTAGCTCTTAAGGAAAGCAATAAATTTGAAGGCAAATTTGTCCTGGTTCCAGCCACCATCAAAGTACCCACCATTCCATGTTGGGAATAAGGAATAAAAAATCTCAGGACATGACCTCATGACTTTTCCGATCTGACAACTGGGAAAACTGATCTGAGTCCTTGGAGCAAGGGTCCCACAAAACTGTCCAGCCACACCTTCCTGTTTTCTTTCTACCTCTAAGGACCTGGGGCCTGTCCCTCCTGAGGCCAGGCATCAGACTTGGACCCCAAGCACAAACCAAAGCCTACACCAGGATAAGGATCTGCAACAAGCATTCACACTTTAGTGTGAAAGAGTTTAAAATCAGCACCACCTCTCCAGATACATCTTCTTTCCTTTTTTTTTAGAGATAGAGTCTCATTTTGTGATGAGTGATGACACCATAGAGTGATATGGTGTCACAGCTCACAGCAACCTCCAGCTCTTGGGCTAAGGCAATTCTCTTGCCTCAGCCTCCCAAGTAGCTAGGACCATAGGTGCCCACCACAACGCCCAGCTATTTTTTTGTTGTAATTTGGCCGGGGCCAGGTTTGAACCCACCACTCTTAGTATATGGGGCCAACGCCCTACTCACTGAGCCACAGGCGCTGCCCTCCATACACATTTTCATTGAGAACCTGTGTGACTCTGGGGAGGGAGTCATCTCTAAAGGGCTCCCAATGGCCAGCTTCAGGAAAATTCATGCAACCAAGTACAATAATCACCAATAGTAACACACTGAATTAATAAAGATTATTGAGGTTTATAGTAATGCACAAAGGAATAGGAAAAACAAGGTTCTTCTTTACAGAAAAATGCCAGCTAATAAAGAGAGAAGGGATGATAAAAACCACCACTTTGCAACCCCAAGTAAGTAACTTATCCAGAAGGTAAGGGTATGCTTGGCCATTAGGTAAGAGGTTGCTGAGAAATAGGCAATCCACTCAATGACAAGATATCACCACAGATTACTTGCTAATTATGAAGTGGGAACATTTACAAGGGAGAGGCCTGGAGACACCACCTTAACCAAGTGATCAGACAATCACCACACATCACAGGACAACCTGGCAACATTTCTTCCTGTTTTGATGTAACATGACATATAGAGCATGGCCTATGATGACCTCTTGCCAAAATACTTAATCTGAATCTAATCATATCTCTAGACTGTAATTTCCAATTTACAAGAAATACAGGGGCCAGAGAAACAGGTTAACACCACCAGAAACAATTGAACAAATCTGGAACCCGGACAAATAGCCTATACTCTTCAAAAATTCAATGCCACAAGGTGAGAAAAATGGGAGGGGGGAGACCATTGTGTGGTCCTGGGAAGAGATGTCAGTGGCTACAGTGCAGAAGTAAGAGATGGGCCTTGGGGACATGTTTGAATTAGTCAAGAGCTAAATGTGTATTTGAGGTGGAGAGAGAAGAAGGAAGAGTCAAGGCAGCCCCACATTTCGGCCTTTGATGGGGGTCCCTGTTAAGACAAAGACTACTGGACACAGGGCAGGTTGGGGCAGAGAAAATGACCCTTGTAAATACTCAGAGGGATGGCAGGAGGAGCTGGTTAGAGACATGGAGAGGTCTGGGTTGGAGGGGGTGGTCAGAGAAAGAAAGCTGGGAGTCCTCTGCAGAGAGGGATGGCACCACCTGGAGACAGCCTGTTGGGGGCAGACAAATGCTGGGGGGCACCAGCCTGTATGGAGAAATGGGACAGAAATTAACAGGGACTGTAGTGACAGTCCAGCCTCTGGGCAGAAAGGTGGGGTACAAGGAAGAGAGAAATGTAGCAGTGATCCCAAGGTCGCCCAGCAGAGTGGTCTTTCTCTACCCAACTCCTGTCTTAAAAACAATCACGTTTGTATCACACATTTAAAAAGCTCCACTATCATATGCCTTCTCATCAGGTTTCCTTACTACTGTTTCATTTCCCCAAAAATATTCCTCTCGCTATACACTGTCCCGTATCCTCTCAGGGCCCATCCATACCTATGCATTTGTCTGTCCATTTCCACACTCGTGCAGGGCAGCCCCTAAGAGCTGAGCCTGTGGGGGTGTCTTGCCACACATCCCAGATAAGCCCCTCTGTGTTCACATGCCTCTAATGGGGGCACCTCTGTCCTGCTCTTTTCTACCACCATCCATGGGGGTGCCCAGAGTCCCACTCCCGTGCTCCTTACCATTTTCCCTGCAAAGCTGACCTCCACAAAGGGGTCCACCAAGTTCTTCTTATTACTGTCAAAGCCAAAGATCTGCTTCACGTTGTCCATCACAGCATCGTCCACTGTGGGGAAGGGCATACCAATCACTGCCCGCCTGCTGTCCCACCCCAAGACCCCAACTTTCCCCCACACTGTCTCCAGGCAGTCCTCATATAGGGACTCAGCCCAGAGACTCCCAAGAGGGAGGACTGTCTCAGAGTAGCAGCCCCTGAGGGCACTGAGTCACTGTGTCGCCACCCCGGACCGCTCATTCTCTGTCCCCTCAGCGCTGGAAGCTTTCAAACCAGGCCTACCAACTGACTGACTGCTTGACTGATTAGAAATCTATACTGCTAAGGACAGAAAATAATCCAGAAACGGACTAGAATATGTTACAATAAGGTCGCATTATTGGACCCTGGTTGACATTTTCCTTTATATCCCTTAGCACAGTGATATGTTAAAGTTAACTAATAAGGCAATTCTGGCTTAAAAACAAAATAAAACAAAAAAGAGTTTTTAATCGTTGCTGCCAATAAAACCAATTATTTTACTGAATTAGCCAGATTACATGCATTAATACACAGATGATAGAAAGGTAGATAGATCTGTGTATGTGTACATATATATACATACAGCACATGTTGATTATATGTATATAAATGAGCATAGGGGATGATATGCTAGCTAATGTCTACATGAATAAAAGAGGCAGCAACAATTAACAGACATTTTTATTCTGTTTACCGATCTATTTTGCCCACTCATATTTAATCATAGCAGAGAGTTCAACACAAAGTTCTTTCACCTTAAGAAAAGCAAATGTTTATATTTCCCCATTCCTCTTTGCAAGCTCATCAGCCTCAATTTCTACGTAATTACAACCAGTAAATGTTTTTAAGCATGTGTTCTAATGCCCATAACTCATTTAAAGGCTTTCCCCATGGTTTTGTTCCAAATAAGTGTACACAGAAGGAACTCAATTTATTTGTTGAAGTCAGTAGTCAAAGTAAAAACCCTCAAACAATTAGCTTTATGGAAAACTTATAACCAGGAACCCAAGTTGCAAACATTCTGCTGACTCTGCTGTAGACAGTGACTGGCTTGCTCACACTAATCTACACTTTAAAATAGTGGCTCACACCTGGGCTGCATGAGACCACCTGAGGAGTCTTGGAACCCTTCCCATTCATGAGCCCCACACTGACCCAAGTCCATCTGAAATGCTGCAAGGGGGCAAAAGGGGCTTGGACTATTTTTATGTTCCTCAGATGATTTTAATGTCAGCCCAGGCTGATAACCATGGCTCTAGAATATTCAGTATAATTCCTGCAGCACTTACTACCCACCCTCAGGACGTGTCCAGTACACAGCCAGCCACTGTGAAAAACCAGGTAGGGGCGGAGGGGCTTCCTAGAACATAGGACTTTCAGTGCAAAACAAAGACAGTCCCAGGAAGACAAGGATGGCTGGTCACCCTTAGACCAGCATCATCTGGGAGACAATGGCCCAGGCATCCTTCAGGTAAACCCTTCCAACCTTAAAGCAACAGCTCCCAGCCCAGTCTGCTGACTTGCAGGGCAGGGAAGGAAAATCACTGAGAACCAGCCCTGAGAACAGAACAGAGTCCAGATAGTGCTGACTCCCAGTAAACCCAAGAAAGTGGGTCCACAGATGGGTGACCAAGCACAGGGTACACTGGGGTGGAGGCCAGGGGCAGTGTTTACTCTCAGGATTTCTTGCATCTCTGTAACTCCGCTAGTACCTATTACTTTTCATTATATTCAATTGCTTTTGTTAAGTATAGAAAAAAATTATTTGGAAACCTAGAGGGGGTTTGAAGCATCCCCACAGAGAGAAGGGAAGGGCAGGAAGCCAAGCCAAGGTGGGCAGCGGGCAGCGAGAGGGCAGGAGGCAGCCTCTGGGGAGAGGGAGGCTCTGGCTGGGGCTAAGAGGGCCTCTCCTTCCCCAGAAAGCTGAGCCCGGCCCTGCCCAGGGGACTCCCCTCATAGCTCCCTGCCCCAGGCTCCTACAAGCAAGAGGTGGGGCTTGGGGTGGGGGGGCAGACTCACTCTGTGGCAAGTCCTCAGCCCTGAAGACCTTCAGGCAGAAGTGAGCTCCTCGCAGCGCCACGCCTGTGGGCCTGAGCAGGTTGCCTTCAATGTCCTCCTTGTCTTCAGAGGGGTCTTTTCTCTCCAGCTACAAAGCAAGCCAAATCCAGTTCCTTCATGCACTCTCACACAGTGTCTTACCTTTCTTCTCTAAGAGCTCAAATGTTGCATTCTGAAGGAGGGCAGAGCTTACAACTGTGTGATCACAGACAAGTTCCTCAACCTGAGGCTCCGCTTTCTGGGCAGCACAGTGCAGACAGTGACTCTGTCCTCCCAGCACTAAGGCAGCAGCATTGTCTTCACTAACCATGTAAACACATTCGGCACACGGCAGGCTCTCAACCAACCCTGGTTTCCTTCTCACTCCCCCCAGTTAAAAAATCATACAGGAGGGACTGAGGTCTAACCTAGCCATTCTAGTTTCAACATCTGCTCATTCACTCAGCACGCTTTTACTGCATAACTAAGTGTCCTCATTGTGCTAAGGCCGAGGGATAGAGCAATGAATAAAGTGACCACAGAGGCCCTGCCCCATGAAGCTCACCATCTTGCAGGGAAAACATACCTTTAAGCAAATTAAGGCAACAGAGTGTGCTGCATATTATGCCTGGGACAGTAATAACTAAACAGCAGGCAGCCCTTACTGATTTTTACACATTCTCTCACCTAATCCTCACAGCACACCCCCTGGGCAGCGGGTCTCAAACTCGGCTGCACAAGAGCAATACCTACAGTCCCCAGGTCACACCCTACTAAGTGTGGGGAACTAGCAGCCTTAAGCCACATGTGGCCATCTAGGTCCTTAAGTGTAGCCTTTTGGTGAAATCCAAATTTTGCGGAACAAATTCTTTTATTAAAAGGAGTACAGCAGAGAAAGATGAAGCCTCTCTAGCCTCTTTTGATGCTTAAAAAAAGTCTTGAAATCAGAAGGCGGCAGGCTTCCCACCCCCACGAGGACCCATGGGGCAGTCATTTTTAAAGGTTCCCTGATGATTCTAATTGGCAATGGAGGTTGAGAATCAGTGTCTTCTGGACAACTGCTGCACATCCCAATTAAAATGCAGGTTCTAGCCAAACACGGTGGCTCACACCTATAATCTTAGCACTCTGGGAGGCCAAGGCGGGTGCATTGCTTGAACTCAGGAGTTCAAGACCAGCCTGAGCAAGAGCAAGATCCCATCTCTAAAAATAGCTGGGTGTTGTGGCAGGCACCTGTAGTCCCAGCTATTTGGGAGGCTGAGGCAAGAGAATCACTTGAGTCCAAGAATTTGACGTTGCTGTGAGCTATGATATAACAGCACTCTACAGAGGGAGACAAAGTGAGAATCTGTCTCAAAAAAAATAATAATAATACTATAAATAATAAAATGCAGGTTCTAGTTCATCTGGCATTGGGTGGGGTCCAAGGTTGCATTTCAACAAGTGATGCCTATGCTGCTGGTCCATAAATAGTGCTCTGGGTGCAAGGCCCTAGAATGTCCCCACTTGACAGATAAGAAAAAGGAGACTTAACACAGGCTTAAGCAGAAGCCCTCAGCTTCCCATAGAAAGGCAGAGCTGCACAGGGCTGAGCACTTGAAGAGCACAGAACAAGGGGGCTTATAACTGTACCGAGGGGTGGTCAGGAAGGCCTCACACCTGGAGACCTGGATAACGGACAGCAGACACAGGAGGCAACTTGTGCAGAAGCCCTTGCATGAGGGGAACTTGGAGCTTGGAGGTATAGACCGAAGATCCAGTGGCTACACTTGGACAAGTGGCAGTGAAGGGACACAAGAGTGGTAAGGTCAGGCCTTTCCCAAAAGCCTTCTTCTTGGAAAACTGCCTGGACTAGTCTTGCCCTAGTCCTTGCTCAGTCCACACTTAACTCACAGAAGCCTGCCTCAGTGTCCCTGTAACAAAACACTCCCTTCTAGAAGGCCCCATAGCTCACAAGTGCCCACAAGAAGATTCATCCTGTGTTTATTCTCCTCAGCTCCTTCCAGAAGAAAATGACCGTATCCTCTGCTTTGAGGCATCCACAAAAGAGTCCATCCTCCGAAACAACAAGCCCTGGCTGAGCACCTACTGTCTATGAAACCTGTACTGGGCAAGAGGGGCGATAAAAAGAGATCAGATTTGCTATGTCATCTCCATCACCAAAAAACTGAATCTCAGTGATGGAGATAGTTATATAAAATTAACTAGACCAAAAAAGTGCTGAGTGGTGGCCCAAAGGAAAGACCAATAAATTGCCCTGAAGGACAAGGCAGGCTTCATGGAGGAATGGCATCTGAATTGAGTCTTGAGGAACAAATTGACTTTGGGTAGGCCAAGAGAGAAAGGGATTCTAGGAGGTGGAAGGCACGGGAAGAATGGAAGAGCATCTAGTCTGGCCACAGAATAGGGTCGTGGAGGTACATAATGGGAAGTTAGACTGAGAAGTTAGATGGAGGCCAAATTGCCAAGGGCCTTGAAAATCATGATAAGGATTTAGGACTTTATCCTAAAAGCAATGGAAAGTCACTGGATGTTTTTGAACAGGAGACACATGATTCTACTTGGATTTAAAGATGACTTTGGCAATAAGGTGGGGATAACTGGAGAAATATGAGATAAGAGATACTCAGAGGACACTTAGAAAGAAGTGGCAGAACCTGCTAGTTGTCCCCCCAAATCCATTCTCTTGTTTACTTCAGTTAGAGAACCTCTAATTTTTAGCTGGGCAGCAATAGGATGGACTTTATTTTCAAGGTTCCCTGGCCATTTGACTAAATCCTGATCAACGGGACTCAAGCATAAATGTGAACAATTTCAGAGGCATGCCTTTAAAAAAAGAGATGTGGCCTCCATTGCTCTTTTTCCACTGGCTGGAATACAGACATGATGATGGGAACTGGAGCAACCATGTTGGGCCATGAGATGCTGCGGGATAAAGGTGCAGAAGCCTAGGCCTCTGGGCACTGTAGAACAGCATGCCAGCTCTGGACTGCCTGCCTGGGCATTTATGACAGAGAGAAATAAATGGCTTCCTTAACTCATGTTAGGCATCTTTGTTACGCCAGCTGACCCTGTATCTTAATTCACACAGCGACCCAGGTGAGAGATGATGGAAGCCTGACCTTAAGCTCTAGCCTTGGGATGAGAAAGAGGAGATGTAGGCATTGAGCTTTTTGTGCCAACAAGACTGGCTCACTGCTTGCATGGGGACTGAGGGATAAAGAATCAAACTCTGACCTCTGGCTTGTGGGATTAAGTAGATGACAATGCCATTTCCTAAGATGTCACTGAATATGGAACGGCAACAGGTGTGGGGAGTGGGCAGCCAGTGAGACTAGGTTTTTCCAGGGGAGCTTCAGAAGATCATAGCGCGCAGCACCGTGCAGCTCTGCCTTTCTAAGGGAAGCTGAGGTTGGAGCTTAGGAAAGATAAGAAAGTCTGGAAACAGCCACTGAGGAAAATGGGCTATTGAGCTAACCACACCCAAGTAAAAGAAGAAGCTGACAGCACCCAGGACCGGGCTGAGTTGGAAAACAGAAACTCATTGTTGTCCAACCAGCACTTTCAGGTGGTTGGAACCAGTGTGTGAAGAATAGGAGAGGGGGGAACACCTGGTATGACAGGAGACTGCCAGGCTACTGAGGAAAGAGTGAGAATTACCTGGGAGCAGGAAGGAATTAATGAGCAAGGGGAAAACTGTTAGGGGGCAAGGGCTGCACCACAATGGGAAGGGGAAGAGGGGAAGGCCTCAGACCTGGGTAAGTGAGGACTATTTTCTTTATTTTTTTGGCCAGGGCCGGATTTGAACCCACCACCTCCAGTATATGGGGCCAGCGCCCTACTCCTTGAGCCACAGGCACCACCTGTGAGGACTATTTTCTAAGCTCAGGAAGAAATAATGTCAGATGTTGATGGTTTATCAATGGGGGAAGGTAACAACCCAGAGCAAGATCAAAGGAGCAAAGAGCCTCCTGGCCTGGCTCTGCCCACCAGGCGGCCAGAGAGTGCAGCAGCTTCCAAAGGAGGAGGCCTGCAGAAGTGGAGAAGGGCCTCAGTGAGAAACCAAAGGATGGCCACTGCTCCCCCATCCGGAGACACCAATAGAAGGGCTGGGGGAGTAGAAAATAGTGGTTTCCCCCATGGTTTGTTTCAAGAGAGTGATCAGGGAAAAGCAAGGTTGCAGTTAACAGTAAGAGGAAGAACACGTGTCCTAGAAAAAAATTACAGATTCAGCAATGTCACATAGAAAGAAGAAGGCAAAACATCTGGAAAGGTGGGCTGTGGAGGGACAGGGCTGGACCTTATGGGCTGAGACAGCAAGGACACAGCCTGTGAATGGAATGGCCTTCTCTGCTTCTCCGCCCCTGCACAGCTGAGTTCTCCCTCCCCAACCTTTTCCACAGAAGCTTCCTGAACTCTAGTCATCAGTCAACATCCCCACCCTTCACCCCCTCATGGAAACTGTCCCCCATTCCCAGAAGTCCACTTCCCTTCCCACTTCTTCCAATCCTCCCGACCATCCCAGACGGGAGGAGCGCCACATCTGACTCCCTCCCACCATCACGCCACCATCTTTGCTCTCTGAAGCCACACTCTGCACATGTACCACTGTCCCGAGGGTCCCACCAAGCCTAGAATACCTGTCCTCCTTTCCTGGAAGATTCCAGCCTACTCCACAATCTGCCCCATAAAATATAAGCACCCTGTCAGTGGCCAGGCCAACAACCCATTCGCCAGCACAGCTCCTTGTCCTCCAGCAGCAGCTAGGCTCTCTCCCCTTTAGCTGCCTCCTCAATCCTCCAGCCTCTCAGAACCAATTCTCAACGAAACCTTGATTATGAAACCCCTTCTCTAAAGAGAGCTTCCAAACCACCCAGGCACAAAGAGCCAGCACATAGTACGCCCTTGGTGTTCTCTCAACCCTTCCTTATGTTTCCTGCTCCTTAGCGACCCTCCTGGTCCTCTCCCCTCCCTGCACAGGGCCATGAGCCATGATCAGGGCACCCTGCTACCTCAGCCCCTGCCTTCACCAGACCCACCCACACCTGCCCCACAGAAAACAGTCTCCGACCCAAAGTGGTTGCTCCTGGTCTGCCAGAAACACTTTTATTTAAATCTAGCCCTTTGTTTCTCTCTCACAATAGTAATTCTGAGCCTTTTCTCCTCTTTCAAATATATAAAGATGCTGATACCTCCCCAAACCTGAACACTTTTCTTGTTCTTACCAATTGTAAAGAGGATAACGGTATATCCTCAGGCAATAAAATTCAGGTTGCAATATAATAGAGACAGAGACAGAGACAGAGATGATCTTACTTTGTTGTTGTTGTTGTTTTATTTTTTGAGACAGAGTCTCACTATGTCGCCCTCAGTATAGTGCTGTGGTGTCACTGCTCACAGCAACCTTAAACTCTTGGGCTTAAGTGATCCTCTTGTCTCAGTCTCCCAAGTATCTGAGACTACAGGCACCTGCCACAATACCCAGCTATTTTTCCAGTTGTCATTTGTTATTTAGCTGGCCTGGGCCAGGCTGGAACCCACCAGCCTCTGTGTATGTGGGTGGCACCATAACCACTGTGCTACGGGTGCTGAGCCTCACTTTTGCTAAAAGAAAAATATATATGTATTTTTATATAATATATATGTTATATATATTATGTAAAAATATACAAAATACTATATATGTAATATAAATATACATATGTATTCCAGAAGGATATACATTAGATATTAACAATGACTCTGAGTGGCAGAATTATGAATGATTCATGTTTTATTTAAACTTTTCTACATGTTCCAAATTTCTCATAATTATCATGTATTCTTTTAAATCAAAAAAAAATAAAGTTTTCTCCCTTTGTTGGGGGTCTCCACCACGAAGTTCTAAGTGAAGTGCTAAGTGATGTGGACCCAGGCAAGTCTACTCACAGGAGCCTCGTCTCCAGGCCCCAGCACGCACAGGCTGGCTTTCAGGTAGCCCCTGGCACCAGCAGAGAGGTCATCAGGATCTGAGAGCAGCAGCCACTTCCTGAGATAGGCATGGCCTGAAAGAGGCAACATGCATCAGTGATCCTGGAACTGGAAGACTCGCATCTGAGAACATGTCCAGGAGCCCAGGATGGACCGCACAGAGTAACATAAAGGACTCCTCCCCAGGACATGGGGGCAGGCCTCATATTCTAGAATCAAAAGGTACTATGAGTGTTCATGTGGGTTAGTCAGAAATATTAACAGAGACTCCTATGAGAGGCTGCTAAAGCCCAACTCAAGGCCACTTTCCTCCCTGTCCCTGCCCCCAAGAAGTGACCAGAGTGGAAACTGGGGTGAGAAAGCCTGAACTCATCACCCAAAGGACCTATCCCTGTCCCTGTCGGTGACCTGGTCTCCAACTAGTGCTGCTGGGGGCTTTCAGGTATACTCTCCCTGAACGGGCCAACTGAGACACAGTTGGGGTGTACTCTTCCTGAGGGCCTATTTTTCTTGGACGATGAATATCTGCTTTCTCTTCTGATATCAACCCCCTCCTCTAATACCCCTAGAAAGAAAGACTGAGATTCTCAAACAGGTGTCTCCAGTCAGCATCCAAATACAAGGATATGGCCAAAGTGATGAGCACTCACGGGGCTCTCTGTAGATGGTGCCCACGTCCATCTGAAATCACAGAGAGGAAACACAAATCATACTCTTGCCACTGAAGAATTCAACAGAACATGGTGCACTATACAATTCCATTAAAACCTTGAGGAACACAGGGAAACATTCGTTATTTGACACTACATGGGAACACATTTTGACCCCAGTTTGGGAGAGTATACTTATTCACCAAAAAGATAGAGAAAAGGAAATACAACAAAATGGTAACTCTGCTATCTTCGGTAAGATTTAGGTGATTTTTATTTTATTTTTTATTCTTTCCTGTCTTTTATAATTTTCTATTAAAAAATCATAGATCATCAGGATGGTGATAGTGGGGCAGGCTGCAGAGGGCAGGGTGGGCAGGAACTATCTGGGAACTCTTTGTACACTCAAGTTTTGCTGTAAACCTAAAACTTCCCTGAGAAGTGGTCTTCTTCTAAATCACAGATTACTTCTACAATTAGAAAAAAATCCAACTATTTTTTAATTTGTTCTCAGAAAAAGGAATGTAAAGATTAGAAATTCAAAACCTAAGTGTTACAGAATGACTAAAGCTCAAGCCATTCCTTTAAAAAAAAAAAAAAAATTTCTCCAAGAAAATACTTAGTTTTTCATCCTGTGACCACTTCCCAGAGGAAGGAGACATTATTTATATAGATAGCAGGGTTAAATAAGCCTGTGCTTTTTCTTTCCTTAGATAAATCCTTGAAGATTCTAAAATTAGAAAATCAATAAGAATTGCATTGAGACACCATTCAAGTCTCCTTTACTCTGTGTAATTGCCAAGTGCCTTTACTTTATGTAATCTGTTAAATCCATCCTATGAGGGGGATTGTACAGTCAGTTCACTTCTGGACAAATGAGCAGGGTAGAGCAGCCCCTCTCTCTCCACTGCCCCCCTGGGGTCTACACCTGAACCCTGCTCCCAGCCCAGAGTGCAAGTGAGGTCAGGACATACAGACCATGTCCACAGCAAGATTAGGAAAGCTACCTAAACTCAAATTCCACACTGCCTTTCCAGGCTGTCAAATATGAATTAAAAATAAAAGTCTTAATCTACTTATTGGAAATAAAGGAAGATATTTCCCTCCCCTCTCTTTCGGTGGGAATGTTTATCTTACAAAACTTGTTAATATAAGTAATTTCTCTGTCTCTTTTTGAAATGTACCTTTTTAGAAACTAAATAAGCTTTTGTCAGCTTTTTGAAACAGGATGTCTTTCTCAGGGACCCCCGAACCCTTTCTTTGAAAAGTTAATACTGAAGTATTTCAGATTGCTTGTGAAAACCCCACACTGTACCCTAGAAGTGCATTAATGTACATAGTTACCGTTCAATAAAAAAAAAAAAAAAAGAAAAGTTAATACTAAGGGAGATGGCCACCTCTATCCCCCAGTTTCACTGGGAAGATAGGAGCCTAACTTCAGTTGAAACACTACTTCCTGTCATAAAGATAGGAGCTTGATTTTTGTTTTTTCTTTTGGATAAAGTAAATTTGCAAACACAAATGGCCAAGTGGATCTAAGATAAATCTAGGATGAACAGTGGGTGACCAGTGGTGCTATGGAGCCGCCTTACTCAAGGACCAGTTACTGCTCATCTGGAGAACATGGCGTGGGTGGCATGGGCTGCGACCACTGGCCGTGCTGGCCAATGAGGTTGCTTTCTGTCTGCAATTGCTTATCGGATGGCTTGTGATGTGCGTCACGCTCTGCTTTAACATTTCTTCAGTGATAAAGGTGCTTTCCTTCTCTTTTGTGGAGAAGATTTAGGGTCATTTTAATTATATTTTCCCAATACAAACTGAGATGTACAGGGTCTCTGGAGTGGCAGCCCCTGCCCAGTATCCAGGGAGCCTCCACTAGCAGGGAGGAGTGAGAACTGCCTGCTTTCAAACAGATAAACAATTACCCGGAACTCTCCAAGGAGAGCATCTGTCCTGAGCGAACGAGAGTCCACCACCTGGAGGGAAAGAGCAGTGAAAACTCAGGTTTACAAGCAAAAGTGTGGCCCAGACAAGGGCAATCCCATAGCTCTTCCCTCCCAAATAACAGCCAATACGAAACACTCGATTCCAGAGATCATTCTAAGCAATGCTTACCCCTCGCTAGAGAACTAGAACAATGATTCCAGAGATCATTCTAAGCAATGCTTACCCCTCACTAGAGAACTAGAACAATGATTCCAGAGATCATTCTAAGCAATGCTTACCCCTCACTAGAGCCCCATGAGCAGATACTGTCATCCCCATTTTATGGATGAAGAAATAGATGGCAGGACTTGCACAAAACCACACAACCCCGAAATGGCATTGGCAGCACTAGAATGCAGACGGTCCGGCTCCAGAGCCCACACTTCAGCCACTAGACTACACCGCCTCTCAGGGCAGGTGGAGAGCTGAGGTCCAGAGAAAAAGAAAATCCTGGCCAGAAGCAGGCACACAGACAAACAAATTAAGATGAAAACTAAAATACGCAGGACAGCAAGTGGTTCAAGGACCCAGATTTGAGGCCCATGGGGCATGCTGAGCTGCGGGGTCTCCCCGGGCTGCGGCCTCGGAGCTGAGCTGCTGTAGGCACCCGTGTGACCAGCAGAGTCTGACTGTGGGTTGTTCCACATCCCCCTTCTCTCTCACACACACATATGCACATGCACACTGACACACACATATACACACCTGTACCCCCACACACACACAAATACGCACTGACATGCACGTGTGAACACACAACCCAGGGAAACACTTTGCTGAGACTTACCGTGATAAAGATGGGCTCATCAAACAGTTCTGCGGGAGACTCAACCAAGTTGAAGAAAAGCGTCTGTTGGTCCAGAGCACAAGAAAGACTCATCGGTGACTGCTGACCCCACAATCCAGGGAGGAGGAGGGACTGCTACCCATAAGCCTTCAGGCCTGATAGTAATCCCCATAGAAAACGTCGCTTGAGCTCAGCTCTCGGGATTCAACCAGATCTAGGATGTTCCACCCCTGACCTCACCAGAGATGGTTATCTCAGGGATGGGAGGATGGCCAGCCCTATAGGATGACTGGGATGTGGAGCAGCAGGAGCCCAAGGTGGGAACAAGAGCTAGATCCCTTTCCACAATTCCTTAGATAACCTCCTCAGCACCCAGAGGCTCCCCCAAATTAGCACCATAGGTAAAAATTTCAATGAATCGCCAAGTGCTTGGCTTTGAACTCCAGGTAGGATGCCCACCAAGGTTCTGGCCCTGATGCCCGGTGTCTCCCACCTCATTAAAGAGTGGGCTGTTCCCCTTGTGAATTCGCGTCCTCTTGGTGTGCCCAGCAGCAGTAACCTTGACCACAGGCTTGATGTTCACCCCTGGCAGCTGGCGCCCCTCGATCACCTGGACCCTGATCTGAAAGTCAGGAGGAAGGGGGAAAAGTTAGGCAGGTGGGAAGGAAGGGACCCCCAACCATTCTCCCCAAGGGTCAGAAACCTCAGGGACTATCTCACTGCTGGCCTCTTGGGAAGAATATGAAAAAGGAATTAGGAAGAGCATCATATGAACAATCTTATTTTCCCACCAAGGTCCTTGTATCTATAAAATTCCATAGTTCCACGGAAGAGTTGCCAGGCTTCCCCAGTAAGCTACCAGCATTAAGCCCCAGGAGTGGGCAGATACAGCCCTTGGTTCCTTTCATGCAGACATTGGCACAAGCCCCACAGAGATCCCACTGATACTGACATTTTTAAGTGCTCAAATATTCTTCAGAGACAATTCTCTCAGAGATTGGACTTCCAAAGTGAAATGACCCCAAAAATAGTCTTTGTTCTTTTTTATTTGTTTGTTTTGTTTTGTACCGTTAAGAGAATAGGTCTCACTCTGTCACCAAGGTTGGAATGCAGTGGCTCAAACATAGCCCCCTGCAGTCTACAATTCCTGGGCCAAGGGATCCCCCTGCCCCAGCCTCTCAAAGTGCTAGGATTATAGGTGAAGGCTACTTCACCCAGCCTACTCTTTACATTATAAGATGCAATACTTTCGGCTTGGCGCTTATGGCTCAAGTGGCTAAGGTGTCAGCCCCATACAGTTAAGGTGGCGGGTTCGAATCCAGCCCGGGCCCACCAAAGTGACAATGACGGCTACAACCAAAAAATAGCCGAGCGTTGTGGTGGGCGCCTGTGGTCCCAGCTACTTGGGAGGCTGAGGCAGGAGACTCGCTTGAGCCCAAGAGTTGGAGGTTGCTGTGAGCTGTGATGCCACAACACTCTACCCAGGGGGATAGCTTGAGGCTCTGTCTCAAAAAAAAAAAAAAAAGATGCAATACTTTCTTACATAATGATAAATAAAGAATTTTTTTGCCATTGACCTTTAACTAAATGAAGATTTCAAAAACATCTATGCATCCAAATATTAGACAAAAGACTTTAAAATGTGATACTTTAAAATATTAAAACAAAATTTTTGGAAAAATAAAATGTTTACTGGTTCTAATTTAGAAACAACTATTATTTATTGACCAATTATTTTTTAATAAAATAAGGAACTATGGAAAGATATTTTATTAGTAACAGTGGGACAGTGGACGAGTGATTTTTATTCTCTTCATTTTGTTATATTTTCCAAACATTCTACTATAAACATACGTTACTTCTGTAAAAGAAAAAAGGCAAGAAGAACATATCTTGGAAATAATAGTATGGGAGCTATAATTTTGTCTCTTAGGGCAAATGCAGCGGTCATAGCTTTTGTTTAAACTACCAAGATTTCAAAGTGAAATATATTTTTACAATTGATCTGTTACACTTAATAAATAGAAATTTAAGTTTCCTGTTTTTAACTTTAAAGGCAGTTCTGAAGATTAAATATCACTAAGTGAAAATACACCAAAATGGAAAAATTCTTTTGAAATGAAAAAGTGAAGGCTAATCAAATGGGATGCATTTTTGAATAAAAATGTGTCAAAGGGTTAATATTAATTGCTTTTATTCTGTAAAGAGATTAAACAAATTCAAATCCTACATGACTTTCAGAAAAATCCATAGCTGTAAGTATAGGGCTAGATACAGGGAGAAGCAGATGCTACTCAGAGCTCCTTAGATCTAGAAATCTTATTAAGATGCGGATTCTGATTTAGCAGGTGCAGCGGGGCCTGGAGAGTTTGCGTATCTAACTTGTAGCAAGTGATACTGATGCTGCTGGACACAGTCCACACTTAGGAAAACAAGGAAGAGAGAAGAAGCATATAGAGATGACTATCAAATCTCTGCAGTGCCTTTTTGTTTGTTTGTTTTGCAGTTTTGGGCCAGGGCTGGTTTTGAACCGGCCACCTCCAGCATATGGGGCCAGTGCCCTACTCCTTTGAGCCACAGGCACCACCCTGTTTGTTTTTAAGCATAAAACCACAGACCAACAGAGGCCTGTTCTGAGGACGTGAGATGTGAACTCCCTATTCAGCATCTGCCCAGGCCCTAGGAAACCACAGATCCCCTCCTGAGAGGGCCCTTAAGATCCCCGGCACATCTCTCCCTGAGGCTGGACAGACCCGGCAGGTGCCTAACACCTGCAGCTGCTGCTGGGGTCAGAAAGCCCATTCTGCACCTGGAAGTCCTGAGGTTTGTCCGACAGCAGCTTTCTGGGTGCAGATGTGCTTCTCTTTCTTTTGCTACTGGGGTGGTAGGGGGGAGGATGAGAAGGTGGTTTCCTGGGGGTGGTGGGAGCCCCAGGGCCTGGGGCGCCGCTCTGATCCAGGAGTGGCTCTGCCTCGTCTCCAGTGAGCCCCTGGTCCTCGGTGTCTTCCTCTCCTCCTGTGTCTGGAAGGAGAGTGTCCTAATGAGGCCTGGGTCCCTTGCGCTTTGCACCAGGACCCAACTCCCTTCCTTTGCCCCCACCCGCAAATCAGTGAGCCAGGATGGATGAGGTAGAAAGGAAAGGCGCTTCCAACAGCTGAAATTTGAGGGCAGTCAGTCCAGTTAGTCAACAGTAAGAAAACAGAATGGCCCTAGCCCTCCCGTACCCAGTCCCCAAGGATGAGCCCTCCAGCCACCTCGCCCCACGCTAAGGAGCTGATTGTGGCAGCTAGTGAGAAGGTTACAGGCAGGAGGATCTGGAATCAGGACAGTTCTGGCACGTGTCTCACCCGTGGGGCCCAGCCACTTCTTTCCAGAATATCTTGTGTCCACGGTGCTCTCACTGAGCAGAGACCAAGTCTCGGCCCGGCTCTGTCCCCCACCTGGCTTGTGGGTAGAGCATAGCTCAGGAGGGGCAGGGTGGAGCTGGGGTAAGGGATGGCAACCTACTATACCCCTAACCCAACCCTGCGTTCACCACCCACCCTAGCCAGCACACAGCTCAGAAATTGTTGCCCTGTCTGCAGGGAATGGTCCCTTCTCACCACATTCCAGGCAGTACCAAAGGACCTCCCCTAATCAACCCAAACCTATCTGTCAGACTCACCCCAACATGGTCCCCAGCCTTCGGGCTCTCCACTCTCCCCACCCACTGTCCCCAGGAACACTCCTTCCTCCTACCCAGGCCCCAAACCCCACAGCCATAGTGTAGCTTGGAACTTGGTTAGCCCCGCCCAGACTGATCTCCTGTCTCTAAGCTCAGACAGTGCTGAGCCCCAGCAGGATGGTCCTGATCTTCTTCCCTCACCACTAAGCCCCACTCAGGGCTGGGCTCCTGGACAGACACAGGGCACACCTGCCACAGGGGCTGCTCAGCGTTTGATGTTGTTTGTTTCACTCGGAAAAAAATGCTAGTCTTTCCCATGGGCAGTGGCCAATCTGTGTAGCCTTCTCCCCACCTCAGCAGGCTGGACCTCAGGGAGGCTGTGCCAGCTCTTAGGCCTGGGCCCCCAACTGGCCAGCCAGCCTCCCTGGGCTGGTCCTTGCCTGACAAGCCCAGCAGAGACAAGCAAAGAGAGAGGAGGCAGGCACAGGACTTAGCTAATTCAGTCTGCTCATTTCATAGATGACAATCTGTAGGCACAGAGATGGGGAGTAACCAGCCCAAAGTGTCATATAGCCACTCAGTGTCCAAAGGCAAGACTAGAACTCAGGTTCCCTGACTTCGGCTCAGGGATCTTTCAAGAACAAACTAGCGGTTTTTTGCTGTCTTTTTGTTTGTTTGTTTTTTGTCATATGCCATCACTGAAGGCTTGCTGAGGGCCAGAGCAGGGAACCATCCAGTTCTGGGGAGTTTGGGTGCTTCAGCTATCACCTGGGACAGAATGTATCCCAGAACACCCCTCTCAGAGCTGCACAAGGAAGGGCCCGCTCCCCAGGCAGCTAGGGCTGGGTGGACCCTTCACACCACTTCCAATAACCCCTCTTTCTACAGGGCAGAAGGCAGCTCTCAGGACCCCCCTCTCTCCTCTAGGCTTGGACAACCCCACATGGGCAAGGCAGCGAGGGCTGGGGAGCCCTGCCACAGTCCCCAGCTCCCAGACTTGGGAGCCACTGCTGGCCTTCTTGCTGGGGCCCAGCCAGGCCGAGGGTGGACTCCTCACCAGCCACCATGTCAAAGTCAGGCAGAGTCGGGGAGGGTTCCAGAGGAGTGGAGGACGGGACCAGGGGCACAGCTCCAGGGAGCGGCATGTAGGACACCTGTAGGACCAAGGAGGCCTGGAAGAGATGGAGAGAGGATAGGCAGCAGATTAGTACATTGGCCTTGGACTGATGTCCTCCAGTATCTTTCCTGCTTCTTGCATCCCTCCACCAAGGAATATGGCTCTGACAAGGGTGAGGTTTACAGGAGGCTGTGGCAAGGCTGCCCCCAGGGAACCATCAGCATAGTCAGATAGCTAAGGCAGAATCCGAGGTTAAGTTCCACTACTCAGGGGCTGTGTGACTTTGAGCAAGATCTGTAACCTCTCTGTGCCTCAGTTTCTTTGTCTGTAAAATGGGAGTAGTAATAGCACTAGCACCTTCCTCACAGGGTCAGATGAGGATTAAAGGCATTGATAGAGGATAATAAAGCCTCTACCAGTGAATCTAGGATCCAACCTCTCCTGAAGGATTTTTCAACTCTCAGCCCAGGCCTGTCTTCAGAAAAATGTACCCTTGGCCACTTTGCTCAGCCAAGGGCCCACCCCCCATTTCTCCAGAGACAACTCAGCTTTGCTTCCCTCTGCTTGGGCAGGCCCCAAGAGTTTGGGGTACTTCACATGTTTCTGAGCCCCCCTCCCTCCTAGAAGCACCTCTGCCACCCACCACACCCTCAGCTGCCCTGGCTTTGACCAGCTGAGAGGAGGATGACTGTCCACACCCATCATGTAAACAAGGGAAGGCTGCCAATGTCCCCACCCCACACCCCACCACATCCACCTGAGACTCGCACTGGCGGCCTCTCCAGTCACAGTGCCCAGGCCCACAGGGACAGGCCTCTGGGGCAGCCATGTTTTTAATCAAAGTAATAAATACTCTATTTAAGAAAATGTGGACAGTAGGGCAGCCCCTGTGGCTCAGTGGGTAAGGCGCTGACGCCATATACCAAGGGTGGCGGGTTCAAACCCAGCCCCGGACAAACTGCAATAAAAATATAGCCGGGTGTTGTGGTAGGCGCCTGTAGTCCCAGAGACTCGGGAGGCTGAGGCAAGAGAATCGCCTAAACCCAGGAGTTGGAGGTTGCTGTGAGCTGTGTGATGCCACGGCACTCTACTGAGGGCAATAAAGTGAGACTCTGTCTCTACAAAAAAAAAAAAAAAAAAAAAAAAAAAAAAAAAAAAAAATTAATGTAACATTTTGGGCAGCACCTGTGGCTCAAAGAATAGGGCGCCAGCCCCATATGCCAGGGGTGGCGGGTTCGAGCCAGCCCTGGCCAAAACTGCCAAAAAAAAGAAAAAAAAAAAGAAAAAAGAAAAGAAAATGTGGATGGTACAAAAACCGTAAAGAAGAAAAATAGTGCAAAATAAAATAGATGGATCTTTCCCTGCCTTAATATTTTTGTATGCTATAATTCTCCCCACTTATAACTGTATACCAAATGCTTTTCTTTTACTTAATGTTAGGCAATAAGCATTTCCCCAAGTCTTGACAAACCCTTTATGTACATATTTTTTTTTCTTTTCTTTTTGGAAACAGAGTCTCACTTGTCACCCTCGGTAGAGTACCATGGTGTCACAGCTCACAGCAACCTCAAACTCTTGGGCTTAAGTGATTCTCTTGTCTCAGCCTCCTGAGTAGCTAGGACTACAGGCGCCCACTATAACGCCTGGCTATTTTTAGAGATGGGGCCTCGCTGTTGCTCAGGCTGGTCTCAAACCTGTGAGCAATCCACCCACCTCGGCGTCCCAGAGTGCTAGGATTACAGGCGTGAGCCACTGCACCCAGCCTATGGACATAATTTTTAGTGATGAATCATCTTTCTCTGAGTATCTCTAGCACATGTTGCTATACAACTCCACTGAGTAACACTGGGAACTTCTAAAGATTCCTGGAGCAAATCCTGTCCTGAAACCGAAGAGGTTGAAAGTCTCAGGCTTTCTCCCTCTCAACTGGGACCTGTGAGGGTGCAGCCACTTAAAGGAGGGCTCATAACACTAAGGAAGGAGGCCAGAGCCAACTCAGCATCCCAGGAGACCCACAAAGACAACTGAAACTCTTTCATTCTCAGATCCAAGACTTGACAGTAATCGGCCCTGCAGGTTCACAAACCACCACTAGGCGGCGTACCTGAGCAGCCAACGCCCACACCCTCAGCTCTGGCAATTCTGAGGAAAAAGAAACTTCCTGCTCCCATCCAGATCCTGATGATCCCAAAGCTGATCTAGAAGGTCTAAAGTGGGCCTGGGCATGTGGGTTTTTAACAACTGTCTTGGAGCTTTCATCTGCTCCACCAAAAGGCAAGTTGGGCTCTTTGGAGAAACAACTAATTCCAAGGCTAGGGCAGGGAAGGTACAAGATGAACCTGGACCATCTTTTTGTGCCAGAAAGGAAGGAAATGCTCAGTGAATGATAAAAACATGTCAGAAGAAGGCAGAAACCAACTTTCTGGCTCCTACTGGCCACACTGGGAAAATTTAAACATGAAAATAAATAATGATAGTAACAGGTTAAGGCATTGAATAAAATAAAATACATAAATCCATATTGAAATAAATGCAGAACAAAATGATCGCTTTAGAATATCACTATTTAGCAACCATCAAAACAATAATTAATTCAACCAAGAAACAACAACGGATGTTAAAACTCATGAGTAAATGTTAGATGAAAAACAAGTTATTAGAGAGTCACAAAGCACCCCTACCCATAAAATTCCTACTTATTAGAAGGGAGAGTAGATGGATAATTAGTGGAGAAAACCGGCAAATGCTAGCTTAATCAGATGGTCAAGGTCATCAGTATAGTAATGAACAAATCAAAATCATGCCACCTGACAGAGGACAGTGAGAGCCACACAACATCACTTATGTTACATTCATGCCAAAGATGCACAACCTAAATCTAATTACCAGGAAACATCAAACAAACCCAGATGGAGGGAGGTTCTACAAAATAACTGGCCTGTATTTACTAAAGTGGCAGACTACAAGGTTGTAAAAGTCCAAGAAAGACAGGAGTTACTCCAGATGGGAGGACACCAAAGAGACAAAACAATGAAATGTAATACATGATCCTTAACTGCATCCTTCTGCTATGAAGCAACTGTTGGGAAAAAATGATAAACCATGAACGGGCATCTGTGAATTAGAGGAAAGTGCTGTATAAATGTTAGTTTCCTCCTTTTGAAGGTTATGTTGTGGTTATGGAAGAGAAAGTTCTTAACCAAAGAGATACACACCAAAGGTCAGGATTATGGGCCAGGAGGTTGGCACCTTAAATGGTTTAAGACAAAATGCTCTTCAGACTATACTTGACAATTTTTCTCTCAATCTGAAATTATTTCAAAATAAAATATTCAAGAAATCTGAGAAAGCTGCTTCTTCCATAACCACAGGAATCTCACTCTGCAGAAACAAAGAAAGCCCCTACCCACTCATGTCAATTGCCACACTCCAGGAGCAGTACAAAGTCTGGACCAGCCACATAACTTGCAGGGCCAGTGCAAAATGAAAATATAGAGCCCCTCATTCAAAAAGTATTAAGAGGGCGGCACCTGTGGCTCAGTGAGTAGGACGCTGGCCCCATATACCGAGGGTGGTAGGTTCAAACCCAGCCCTGGCCAAACTGTAACAAAAAAAATAGCCAGGCGTTGTGATGGGCACCTGAAGTCCCAGCTACTCGGGAGGCTGAGGCAAGAGAATTGCCTAAGCCCAGGAACTGGAGGTTGCTGTGAACTGTGTGAGGTCACAGCACTCTACCGAGGGCGATAAAGTAAGATTCTGTCTCCACAAAAAAAAGAAAAAAAGTATTAAGAATTTCAAGATGCAACAGTAGAGAGAAAATTCAACCAAGCACAAGCCCATCTGAGCATGGAGCCTCATGCAGCTGCCCATGAGGAACGGCCAGTCCTGTGTGGAGTTTTTGCTTAGCTCAGCCTAACTTGGGCCCACATCTGAAAGCCCGAGAGTAAGAGCCCTGCCTGACAGGTCTGGCCTGACCCATTGATTCATTAACTCCCTTATTCATTCCCTCCACATGTATATTTATCAAGCACCAACTAGGGACCAAGCACTATCCAAGGTACTGGGGATATTTCTGTGAGCAAAACTAAGGAGCTGATATACTGGTAAAAGAGACAAACAATAAACAAAAGAAATATGTAAACTATGCAGTATGGTAGAAAGAAAAGGAAAAGGAAACCAGAGCAAAAAGAATCAGGGGATCCAGAGAGGTTGTCAGTTACAGCGTTAAGTCCAGTGGTCTGAGTGGACCCCGGGGAGATGAGCAGAATTAAGCAATAACTTGAAAGAGCCACACCTTGGCTACCCTTAAAACCTTGACTCTGGGACCAGAGTACCTTGAAAAGTAACCTTTCCTATTTCTGGGGGTTCACCCATCCTCACCACCCCTCTATACCACCTGGGGCTTCTGAACACCACCTCTGTGCACCAGAGTAAAACCGCTCCATGCCATGGCCTGGTGCCTGCACCTCAGCCTAGGAGCCCCAGATCAGCCTCTGCCAGAGGCAGGAAGGAGCAGCTGCCCTGGAAACTGAAGACTATTCAGGCAGTCCCTGAGAGGGCCTCCTGAGCTTCAGGTGCTTCTACACTGATAGCCTCACACCAGCCTCCTGAAGAATTGGCAACATCCCAGTGGCTCAGGCACTTGAATGACACTCCTAGCTAAGAGCCAGGCCCTTGTTAATATGTCCATTGAGAGCCACAGGAAAATCTCTGCAGCCTTGGAGGCTCTAGCCCAGGGTCTAGAACAGATCTGCCCACCAGAGGGCAGCCTCCATGGAACATGGCTTCAGGAACAGGGCAGTTAATACTAAAGGCCTGTAGCTCTACTGAGGATCTACAGGAAAGGGGGTATGTCTGTGGGCCCTTCCAGAGATATGATAGCATAACTCAGCCCTGTTCCCTTTTCCAGACAACCAGAGCTGAAATTTTCTTCCTATGGGATATATATGAGCCCTGTGCTTGCCCATTCCACATGACCTTGACCTTGAATTACCAGTGGGACTCTTTTCAAGGCCCTCCACATCAAGGTACCCCACCTGATAGCCCACTCATGTATCCATCCCGGCAACACTGTGGGTGTTATCAATAACGTGTCCACTAAAGCACACTGCCCTGGAGCGGGGGACCCTCAGTCACCCATGTGTGGCATCTGAGAGCCTATAGTCAACACCGTCAGCAGAACTCTGAGGCTCCTATCTTCCCCTCAGCTAAGAGGGCTCAGGAAACTGAAGGCAAAGTCAGGGAACGACCTGGTCAGATGCACCCAGGACCTGGCCCTGCAGCAGGTCATGCTGTCGGGCCCTTGGCATACCCTACTGTGCCAAGACCATTTCTTGCCACCAATGTCCCACCCTCAACTCAAACACACACATGGGTGAACAGGCAAGGCCTAGTATGTGCCTGGCTCTCACCTTTCCCTCAAACAACCTCCAGAAGTGGGTGGAGGGTAAGATGCAGCCTGGGCTCATATAGGTTTGGTTGGCAGGCTCTCCAAACCCCTCAGGGAAGCCCAGGGGCTCACTGAACACTATGCCTGCCACCGCGGGCCCCTGCTCCAGCACACAGTGCCCCCTGGCTCCAGTGATCTGCCATACCACTGGTGCTGTTAAGTCAGCCAGTGGGCTATCAGGTGGAGGCTTTGATGAGGAGGGCCTTGAAGAGCGTCCTGCTGGGGGTTCTAGGCCAAAGGCACATGGTCTGGGACAGCACCCAGCTCTCATGTACCCCATAGGCAGAAAACCTCAGCTCTGGTTGTGATCACACGCTAGCTCTTAGGCTCAGGTGATACCAATATAGTTTTCATCATGTAGCCAAACCTCTTGAGTGAGTTGTCCTTAAAATGCATTTGGGATCAGGCGGTGCCTGTGGCTCAAAGGAGTAGGGTGCTGGCCCCATATGCCGGAGGTGGCGGGTTCAAACCCAGCCCTAGCCAGAAAGAAAGAAAAAATGCATTTGGGATTATGTTATTTCTTTCCTACTGTGTATCCAGCACCCCCGTTGACCTAGAGCAGTGTTTTCCAACCTTTTTTATCTCATGTCACACTTGAACCTGTAGCACATTTAAATTATGTTCATCATCTGGCTCAGTGCCTGTAATCCAATGAGTAGGGGCACCAGCTACATACACCAAGGCTGGCAGGTTCAAGCCCAGCCTGGGCCTGCTAAACAACAATGACAACTACAACCAAAAAATAGCTGAGTGTTATGGTCCCAGCTACTTGGGAAGCTGAGGCAAGAGAATCGCTTAAGGTCAAGAGTTTGAGGTTGCTGTGAGCTGTGATGTCACTGCACTCTACTGAGGGCAACATAGTGAAACTCTGTCTCAAAAAAATAAATAAGTAATAAATTATGTTCATCAAAAAAAAGAATATACTTACTATGCTTTGAACTTCTTCAAAAATAATTTAATTAATGATCTTTAAAAATTTTTGTGGCACATCTAAGATCTTCTCACAGCACACCAGTGTGCATGGCACACCAGTTGGAAATCACTCACCTAGAGGTTCCCCCAAGACAGGGGTAGTGTTTTCCCCAACAGCCCGGATCTGACATCCCCCTATGGTATACAGCCTAGTGTGCCATCTCGGAAGGGACATGGGTGAGAACACCAAGCAAGGGGCCAACAGAGCCCACAGTCAGCCTGCAGCAGGGCTCCCAACCTATCCCAGTCTCTCTGATTCTTTTCAGCCTTTCCAAGCCTTTCTGGGATGCCATGGCCTGTGTCTTCACTCTCACTGCTCCATCATCATGTTCCTTTGGCCCTTAAAGGCAATCAAGCTACAACCAAACGAGGGTGCCTGGGATGCTGTGCTCAATGGACCTCTCCTGGAAATCAGACCTCGGGGAGTGAGAAGCAGCTTCTCATGCTCCCTGTCCCACTGAACATCCCCATTCTTGGCGCCTCGAGCTGCAGTGTCCCAAGTAGGAAGCCCCAGCCCAGGGGGTCTTGTGATCTGCCTGGCCCTGCACTGTGACATAGTGTGGTCACAAGGATTAGCATCTGGTCCTAGACACCATGCACAGGTGAAGCCTGCCTCCATTCCCAGCCCACGCTCAGCTTGAGGCTTGACCAAGCAGGGTCCAGCCCTCCTCTCACATTTACCACCTCCTGCCTTTACACATCCTTCTGGGAGATGTGGTTGATGAAGGATTGTTAAACTCTCGAGATGACAAGAGGCGCCAGGCTGGGGAAGAGAAGGCAGGCTCTCATGAAGTCCACACAGAGTGTGGGAACAAGGAGCAAAAGGAAGAGGGGTATGTCAGCCAGGGCATGGTCACCAACCTGGCTCAGCCCCATTGGGCAGGGCCTAAGTACAGAAAGCTCTGCCTCGCGACCTAAATGGGCCCTGGATGAGTTCAGAGGGGAGCAAGTGCAGGAAATACCAGCGTCGTGGATGCATGCAGGCCTGGAGTGGATGCATGTTGATGTCTCAGCAAGGAAGTGAGTAAGCAGCCAGGAGGCCTTGGGCCCAGCACACAGCAAGACAGGTAGCCTGGCCCTCAGATGCCATGGAAAAGCACAAGCAGATCCCCAATCCAGCACCCATCTCACCAGCTGCCTTGATGCCTAAGCTTCCAGCACCAGTGCTCTGCCTTTAGGGTTGGGTATGGCCCTCTTCAGGACCCCTAAAGGGGTAGTTTCAGAGGTCCTTGGAGCCCTCATCAGCGACAGGAGTATTAGGAGACTAGAGAGCTCAGAAGGAAGACAGAGGGAATCCAGAGGGGGACGGAGACAGGCTCAGTGAAGACTGCACTGAACCTGAATGTGTTGGCAGCGAGCACTGACAGAAAGGAATGGATTCTCCTCAGTGTCACCTCCCATCAAGGAAGCAGCCTAGCTACTACTGGCCTAAGACCCTTAGGAGCAAATTCCAGCATCAGGAGCGTGGCAGACTTGGAGTCCAGCAGTCCAGGAGCCTGAGAGTCTAGGAGGTATGCTCTGATCTGTGTCCCCACTAGGACTTCAGTTGTTCCCTTTCTCCAGGTCTCCGGTACCCAGTGTGGTTCCATTCAGAACTCTGCCTAGACTGATGGCTTCCTAACTCACCCAGCCAGCCAAAGGCCCCAGCCTCACACACACCCACACACCCAGGACAGAACAATGAAGCCCCCCACCCTACCCCCAAGAAAGCTCAGAGGCCAAGATCCTCCAGACTTCACTGGGAGGAAGCATTTCCAATCCAGGCTGACCCAAAGGGAAGGTCAGGGATTCTACTGCCCAGGAAGAAAGAACCTTGCAGGGTATATTTAGCTCACTAAAAATAACAGAAGAGATGAAGCTGGGAATTGTCTGCTTGGCCTGGGAGAGCACTGGAAAGGCTGGGGGAGGGGCAGGAAGGGCAGTGGAGGAAAAGGATGGGGGTCCGTGGACAAAAGAGAGGACTGTCTGTCTCCTTTGGGAACTATGACCCATATGACTCAGATACAGCTAAGTGGTGAGGAAAGGAGTTCTGTCAGGGACACCAGGGGGCCATAGCCAAGGCTGACCAGGAATGGGACAGGAAGTAGTCAGGCAGGCGAGACAAAACCCAGGGGCAGGCCACACTGGAGGAGGCAAGGCTGACCTGAATCCTACAGAGCAAGCCATGGCTCCATCCCCCAACCTTCCCATGGCTCCCAGCCCAGAGCCCCTCTGGACACCTTGAGCTCTGGGAGCTGGACTCAGATATATCTTTAGGGTCAAAATGTCAAGGCACTAAAAGGAAGCCACCAGGCAAGGCCTCAGACCAGACACTGGCCTAAGACAGAGACTGACAGGCACTCACCCCTGTGGGCTGCTGCTTGGTGTCCAACAGTGGGGCATTGAAGCTGGCAGACAGGCTGGGGGTGGCGAGGACCTCTCGGAGTGGGATCTTGGCTTCCCCCAGAAACCTAAGAGGAAAGAAAAAAAGAAAAGCTGAATGTAGAAAACTGGCCTGATGCACCTGGCCCCTCTCCCTTCAGCCCCTGTCACCACCACCACACAGAGCCCATCTGCTAGACCACAGTCACGTAGGACCTGACAAGCACTCCCCTGCACCTCCACCCCTGTCACTGTTATGTGCCACCCATGGAAGGCCAAGGTCCTGGGGAAATACATGGGTGCTAGAGAGGGATAGAGACTCCTTCCCTTCTCCAGGTCCACCTTGACTTTCCTGCCCCTCCCAGGAGCCCAGTCACACCTCCCATGTTAGATGGAGGGTTGTCTTCCTGCCAGGCCTCAACAGCCCACCTGGTCGGCATCCCTGGAAGACAGAGGCAGTTTCTCCACCAATCACATCTGCCCTGCTCTTGAGCCTAAGCAGCACAGACAACCTGCATCCACACAGGCCATCCAAGATGGTTTCCCAGCACTCAGGCAGCAGTAATTACAAATGAAAAAGAAACATTCCTGTCTTCAGGGACAGGGAGGAAAGGACACAAGCCAGCTCCCTAGAAAGGCCCAGGACAATCCATACCACACACATCTGAGCCCAAATTTCTGATTAAGGGGAGGGGTCCTGTACAAGGATCAGCTCTCAGAAAGAGTAGGTCAGCAGCATGATGGTCCCCAAAGGGGCCCTCCAAAGAGTGTTCCCTAAGCTAAGAAATGAGCACACTGTGTATTCTGCACCTCTGCAGCCCAGCAGCAGGGAGTGCCAATCAGGACCTGTCACCTGGTGTCTGCATCTGCCTTCTACTTGTTTCCCTGGGAACTGAATCCATCCTGACATTCCTGTCAGGGCACAATGGCTTGTGAGATCAATGCACAGCCACAGGTATACTTCTTAATGTTTTTTCCTGATGGATAAATAGCCCATCTGTTATCTGGGATCATCCTTTTTCCAGACTCCATAAAAACTAATTTGAATATGGGTTTTTAATGACCCTATGAAATAAAACTGCAATCTTGACCTAATTAGCTGATTTTAAAAATTGGCTACTGACAATGAGAAACCACATCACATCCATTAGTATGGCTATCACACACACACACACACACACACACAGGAGCACACACAGAGAAGCAAGTGTTGGCAGCATGTGCAGAAATTCCACCCCCACCCCCATGTGCGCTGCTGGGGGGAAGGGAAAAGTGTACACCCATTGTGGAAAACAGTATCGCAGTTCCTCAAAAAATAGCTCTTCTACTTCTGGATATATACCCAAAAGAATTGAAATCATGGATTTCAACAGATATTTGCACACTCGTGTTCATAGCAGCAACACAAGCTGGATGGCAACACTAGGAGTCAACATTTATGACAGCCAAGAAATCAAAGTCACCCAAGTCTTCATCAACAGATGAATGGGTAAACAGAAAGTAGTGTATACATACAGTGAAACATTATTTAGCCTTAAAAAGAGGGTGAAATTCTGACACATTCTACAACATGGATGAACCTTGGAGACATTATGCTAAATGAAATAGACCAGTCACAAAAAGATAAATATTGTATTACTCCACTATTATGAGCTGAGTAGAGTAGGCATATTCATAGATAAGGAAGTAGAACAGTTGTTGCCAATGGTTGGGGGTAGGGGTGAATGGGAAGTTTATTCAATACAAAGTTTCAGTTTGGGAAGATGAAAAAGTCATGGAGATGGATTGTAGTGGTAGTCACAGACATGGTAAATGTACTTAATGCCACTAAACTATATGCCTAAAAATAGTTAAAATGGTACATTTTATATATATTTTACCACAATTAAAAAACTAGCTGCTTATTTAAAATCCTCTATGTCCATCCTTCTTGGAACCAGAAGATTCTCTCTCACTTTGCAGATCCCCTTACTAGCCAGGACCTTGAACATATGATATGTGGTCAAAGTCAATTTTTCTAGCTTTTCTTGGAAGAAAGGGCTAAACAGAGAGCTCTCTCTTCACTAATTTTCATTCCAGAGTCCCAAGACCCCTCACACTGCTAGTGAAACTGCCCCGTACACAAATCAATAAAGGGATGGAAGGCAAGAACTGGGGTAAGGGTCCCAAACACTCTGTAAAGAAACAGGTCTAGCTAAAAATAATGACAAGAATTAGTTACTGCCCATAATTGCCACTCTGGAGTCACATAATGGGCAGTCATATAAATTCTTAACTTTCTCCTTAGATAACATCATCCTTATGAAACCCAAGGCTGGTTTCTGAGACATTGTCCAGGCCCCACATTCCAGCGATTGGCTGACCCACTCAGACCAGCGGCCCATACCGAGAACTGACTCAACTCGAATTGTGACCCCAGGAACATAAGAAAATGATTTCTACACCCCTGTAATTTTGCCCTGAACCTAGACAAGTAGCAAACTTAATTGTCCAATTCTCTAATCTTTGGCCCATCAAACTATCCTTAAAAACCCTGTTTTGGGGGCAGCACCTGTGGCTCAAGGAGTAGGGCGCCAGCCCCACATACCAGAGGTGGCAGGTTCAAACCCAGCCCTGGCCAAAAACTGCAAAAAAATAAAAGATAAAAAATAATTAAATTTTTTTTTAAAAACCTGTTTTTCAAATTCTCAGAGTGGCAGATTTGAGAAATTCCTTCCATCTCCCCACTTAGCATTATCTGAAATTAAACTCTTTCTTGGCTGTAAACCCTGCTGTCTCAGTGTATTGGCCTCCACATGGGCAGTGGGCAAATAAACCCGGCTGGATGGCAACACTAGGAGTCATATTTTCAAGAAGGTAGACTGATTTGTGTTCAATTCCTTCACAGCATGGAGCAGGCTTTGTACTGTGGCTTAATAAGCAGGGTTCCTGGATTGTCTCACCCCAGGGACCAGTATGGGGGAGGCACCTGTCACCCATATGTTGAAAGAAGTGTCTTGAGAGCCAGGCAATGTCAAAAAGACCAGACAGCAGGTGCAGAGGGCCTGTGAGTACATGCAACATCAGGAAAAGTCTTTCTCGACAATCGTCCCTATCCACCAAGGAAACTGGGGCAGTGACTTTCTCCAGCAGGAGGATGGCAGGGCCAGCCCCACGATAGGTCTCCAGATTCCAGGGCAGTCTCTTGCAGCAGGCAGGCCAGGTGGCAGCCCTGGTCCACCAGACAGCTGGATGTGGCCGGAGCTCCAGCCTAAGGGTCCCAGCCTGAGGGCCCTCAGGACTAGAAGCCAGACCTCTTCTGCCTCCCTAATGGGCAGCCCACCCCTCCCAGCACAAGGCCTAGGAGAATTCCCAGAAGTGGGGTAGGGAACAATGGGAGGAAATGAAGAAGGAAGCGCAGGCCCTGCTCCTGCCAGCCAGGGCTGCCGCTGGACAGCCCAGTAAGACACTGGCCAGGATTGCTGCTCTCTATGTCCTCTCTGAAACCTCTTTTTGGGTCATGAAATGCACCCCACCCCCAACCCTTGCCATCAACCTTGAGCCCAGTCTCTCAGAAGGGTGGCTTTATAAGCTCCCTCTTTTGTAGGAGGAAGGGCTGGAGGCAGCAGAAAAGGGTCTAAGGATTTGGGACCAAGTTCCTATGAGTCAGGCAGAGCCAGGGCCTCCCACAGATGGATAGCACTGAAGTTCAGAACAGGGAGGAGGGACTTGTGGGCAGGGTAGAAGGGTCTGAGGCTTAATTCCAGGAAGCCCTGAAGACCACTCTTGACTCCATTCATTTCTCAGAGGATGGAAGAGACTAGGCTTTATTTAGGGGACATCCGGCCTGTAGGGCCCAGACCCACCCCATCTGGAGATGACAACTGAGGCCCTGGTTCTAGGGCCAGGTGCCTTCTGCACATCAGGAATGCCACACACTCAGTGGTGAGTGAGCACTAACCAATGATCTAGTGGGTGGCAGACAAGACTGACAGAGGCTCGAATGAGGCAAGAGGGTCTGGGGAGCCTGCACAGGGCCTTGGCTGCCTAGAGCCAGCCCTGAGTGTGTGCAGAGCCTGGTGAGTTGGAAAGAAACTCTCAGGAGCTCAGCCCCACCCCCTGCAGCCCACTGACAGAAAAATGCCACAGGCACTCCCAGACCTGGTCATCCCTCTTGGCTGACCATGAATGTGGCCACTGGAATGCAGGGGCAGAAGAAGCGTGGGGACTGAAAGAGCTGCTGCCATCCCAAAGAAAGAGAAGTCAGCAATCTGCATGGGGGGAGGGAGGGAGAAGCCAAAGCAGCTTACATCTTAACAAGGCACACATTTTTCCCCCATGAAAAAAAGAGCTACAGCTAGGTACAGTGGCTTACACCTGTAGTCCCAGCTACTTGAGAGGCTGAGACAGGAGGATCACTTAAGTCCAAAAGTTTGAGGTTACGCTCCAGCAAGCCTGGACAACAGAGCGAGACCCCATCTCTAAAAAATAACTTGGTTTGTTTTTTTTTTAAAGAACTACAGTAGTTCCCAAATTCATCATCCAGTAGTGTATCAGAGATACTGCTATATCAGAGAAGGGAAGGAGACATGGGGTACTAGCCCC